CAGGTAGATATCTCTGCTATGTGACAATCAGCATATGGTGCAAAAGCGGCTGTTGTTTTTGTGGTTGTCATTATTATCTAGTGGCTGCCATCTAAGAATTAGAAGCAATATCAAATGAAGTGTGGTTCAGCAAAAGACAGAAGAATTAGTTTGAGAGTTATATTGTGCTCTTCACTAACACTCCATAATCATATATTACATTCGATATTTAAATGCCACCCAGGGAGCTCTAAATTTGCAGTTTCGTGCATCACTCACGAAAACAATGGTACGTGACAATTTGGAAAAAATTCATCTTCGTTCAAACACAGCCATTCATATCACGTCACAACGCATGATAAAATCTGGAAAGGCTTGTTTTGCTTTACAGAATGAACATCTAGCGATAACGTACATTAACCGCATTACATGTACCATTGCTAAATGTCAGGGAATCTTTTAGCAACCTCAGTGTTGTATTTCTGCAGTCTCAGCCAGTTAAAATTGCGTGGAGTTTGCGTCAGATTCACACATCATATGCATTTGTATAACGCTGGTGTTTGGTTTTAGCAGCTCACTTAAGAGACTACATAAAAATGGACTTCAGACTGATAGATAAGTCTATTGTGTACATGAAACAGGCGGACCAAAGATTTCGATTGGTTTTGATAACACTATAAATGAGAGTAAACTTGTTTGATGTGCCGTTGAGATGACAACTGAGCAAACAATGAATGGCAGCACTGATTTCAGACATGATTCGATTCGTGCTAAAAAGAGCATGTATCTTGACAATGTTTCACTTTTAGACCGACAGCGACTCAAGCCTTCCTCCAACTGAGTTACAGGATTCGAAAGAATCATCTGCTCAAGCGATCTTTAATTCTTGACTAATTTTTTCCGCATGTTTCGGAAGCTGTTCGGCATTAATAACGCTAACTCTGGAAATTCTTTTCATGCAAGGGCGCAATTACTTAGCTTCTTTGTTGTGCAGGGATTGGAAGAACACTAATCAATCTGTTGTTAATAACCAGAAGTAAAGTATTGCCAAAGTTTGAAACTGTTGAATCTGTGGAAGCTGAAAAAAATAGCACAACTTTGGCTACTCGCGACCACCGGTTAATATGTTCGTCCAATATGGGTTATTACTGGCTATGAGACAGTAAAGGACTGTAATACGACTTTCAGCTATGAATCGACTACAGTCCTAGCAACAGTAATCATGATCATAAAGATGCATCATAAACTACATTTCTAACGTCTGTCACCCAGATTTGTCATTCTGACCATTAATTATCTGCCAACACTGGAGGTTACTTCATATTCAAACAAATGTAGAAATATCAAAAACTTGCTACGAGTAAAGGAAAAGAAGACTTGCCTGATGAACCGAGGGGAATTCAATTAATTCCTTTAGACTTAATAAAGTACAGGAAAGCAGGAATGAGAGAAAATTTCAATGCACTATTTTACTAAATAGGGCCCCCAAACGCTTCCCTGAAGTACAGAAATGCGGAATAAATCGTCGGTATATTTAAGTGACCGAATATAACACTCTGATGGTATAACACTATTGTCATCTGTCGGAAAATTTCTAGTGGATTATCCTAGAAAGGCTGTGACATGCAGTTGATGGAAAAATTTACCTCTATTAAGGAAGCTTCCGGACGAGTAACCTCTTTCGACTAAATTTTCATTCTTTGCAAGAATCTGACCAATGCCGAAGATTCCAATAGCCATGGATTGACAATTTCCATGGTTTTTAGGACTGTATTTGATTCAATACATCATCCCAGGGTTTGAAAATCCTCCAAGAGCTGTGGGATACCTTAACCCTTTATTTCCTTTGAAGAGATATAGGATAATCAATAGTATTGTTTGAATCGAAAGAGATGTAGCAGGAACCCTGTTACTGCCCAAGATGAAAGAGACCTCTAAATCGTTAGCTATCGACCGTAAAGTACGGCAGGAAGACATGCTTTCTCCTCCACTGTTTAAAACTGTTCTACAGCATTTTCTCTGAAAGAGTTTCGGTCCGACAAAGGCGAAGGCCTTGTTCTACTGAGAAAGGCAGTTCGAAATATCCGGCTAGATATCTTGCTGACCTGAGGAACGCGAATGATATATAAGTGGAACACTGATTGAAGTACTTCCGAAGAATTGAACAGGAATATTACCCTAGATTCCGGGGCTTTTTGAAACCAGGGCTGTTCAATATTTGGGCTGAGAAATGAGTATCTCCTCTCAAAGAAAATCCGCCTGCACTTCCTCAGTCAGATCAGCGTTGTTATACGGCATAGACAGTTGTTCTAAGGAAGGAGTAAGAACGACAAATAAAGTGAGGCTTCGACAACAATGACAATTAAACTGAAGGACCATGTAAGACTCGATCTTGTTCTGATCACTGGTGATCACAGTAGATTTGAAGGCCCCTTTAAACAAACTGGTTGAGCATAAATCATCTACCCCAGTTCATGAACTTTGGGTTCCTCGATTTCAAGAAGTGTAAACCATAACTATTCCTGGGGATCCAGGGAACCGAGAAAGGATACTATGAATCAAACTACTATGATTTACGCGAGTGCAACTGGTAGAAAGATTCACGATAGTACAAGCAAGTTTCAAATCGAAAAAAGTGGCCGGGATGGAGAGTCAACACTACTGAAAATATTCTGCGCAGCCTTCGATGTTTTAAAGACGCGCGGTTTGTGGATTTAAGCTTGATCCTCACAAAGGAATCAAAGAAGCTCGAAAGAAGAATAAGAGATGAACAAAGCAAACGTGAAAATGGATCTCAAGAAAACCTAAGTCATGTTTAGCAAAAACATTACCCAGCGAACTGTTGAAGTAATGAGTTAGGATTCAAGAGTGCAACCTATGTTTATCTGGAACAGCTCATATCTGCAACAGAAAACCACGTAAAATTAGCAGAAAAATAAATAAATAGTATGGAGCACTTTCGGAAGACTTGAGAAGTTCTTCTGGGGGGGGGCTTCTCTTATGATAGAAACGGAAACTGCCCGATCAGCATATGCTTCCAGTACTAGCCTATGGATGGGAAATGCGGATCCAAGTCTGAAAGTTATTCATAAACTGCAGACAACGCAACGCAGCACGGAAAGATGTTTGGAATAAGAAGTTAGCAAGACAAATGAATGGGCAAGAGCCAAAACAAGAGTCTGCAATGCCATTGTCCCAGTGAAGTAATGCAGATGGCAATGGGATGAACGCATTGCTAAAAACCCACCGTCACTAGACCATGGAAACGCGACACCGGGAAGGATTGATTCCGACCAGCAGGACAGCCTGCAATCTGGAGCAACAAAGTAGAGACATATCTACTTTCGGAGGAGCATTTATTTCCACGATGCGTACGCGATGCCTTATAGCAACTGCTGATACGCAGTGAATACTACAGATGTCATAAACCGGCGACGTTTTACTTATGCAAAAGGTTTAAGGTAATGGTCTCAACAAATGCATAATCAGCAGAAGACGTAAACTCTATTTGACTTGTTCATGGATGTCACAGGCTGGCTTCTAAATTGACGTCCGTCTTGTTTCG